CTTGAGGGCAAATAGCTTGTCTTCCGCCTCCTGTACCTTGTTTGGATTGTCGTACACGCGCGCGAGCTGTTCGAGGATTGTTTGGTAGTCCCAGCTTTGGGTGTCTTCTGCTTGAGAGAGCTGTGGAAGGACCATGGCTTGGACGTGGGAGTCAAGGTTGAGGTAGACGTAGTAGAACTGCGCAATAGCGTCTCCAATAGCTGTACCGTCGACTCGTAGCTTTGCTTTGATTGAGGGAAGCCAGGTGTCGAATTTATGAGCCTGGCCAGTGAATTTGTCAGGGTCTGGGAGGGAAGGTTTAGGCTTTGCGGATGTTCTTGACCGGAGTAAGTGAATCTCGTCGCGCTGTCGCTGGACTTCAGCTTGCAACTCAGCGATGGCGGACTGAACTTGAAGGGCATCCATTGTAGAGAAGTCGAAAAAAGAAGAGGTTTCGTCGTGTTGTAAAGTGTAGGGTTCTTGCGCACAAGAAAGTGGTAGAAATCGTGAGAATTGAGACGTAAGATCGTGGACCTGAACTTGGACGTGAACGTGAACTTAGACCTGGGATACTTAGCCTCAACTAAGGGTCTTTTGTAATGTGACAGACGTGCTTCAGGTAGAACTCAGAACAATTAACACTCTATTCTTAGGACAAAAGACGAGGAAAGAAGGAGAGCTCGAGAGAGCTGGGAACTAAATACAGGTCGTGCGCGCTAGCGCCTCGCTAAGCGAGCATGTGACATCCAGCCCTCGTGACCATAACCGTCACATATAGGTGTTATAGATTACGTTAGTATTTATATACCTATCTTATATATATCTAGCTATTCTAGCTACCTTTACTTATTATAATTATTTATTTATGTATTTATATAACTTATACTATTCCTATTTATATAATACGTTCCTTCTTTATTATATATTAGTATTTTATCTTTAAAATATCTTTTTCTCCTTCTTAGTTCCCTAGTATATTTACTATTCCTTTATTATAATCTATAATTGTATTTAGTATATACTAATCTCTAGTCTATATAACCTTTACTAAAAATATTATAAGTATAAGTTATTCTAAATTATAAAATTATATTATTTTTATTTATTTAATTAATATTTTATAACTTATACTTAACTAATATATTAAATCAAAGGATTAATATAATATAGAATCTTAAAGACCCTAGATATTAAGCTAATAACTCTATCTATATATTAATCCTAAAAGGTAATAGTAAATTAATTAATAGCTAAGCTAATCTATTATAATATTAAAATAAAAGTAAAGTATTAGAATATATAGATATAGGATAGTAAGGGTAACTTTATATAAATATTTAGAGTAATTCTCCTAATCATATATTAGATGCCTTCTCTCTTATACTAAACCTTTATTTAGTTTTAGCCTTATCTTCTAGTTTTTCTCCTTTCTTATTATTCAAAGTTGTATTACTTATACTAGAGCTAGGATTCTTTATTAAAAAGTTAATTTAGAGTCTATAGTTAAAAGGATTACTATTTTCTTTTAGACTTTTAAATAAAGGCTAGAGGTAGTAGGCGTCAGGGTAGTAGCGGGCTAGAGGTAGGGTCGGGGCGAGTGGCCGGGTGTAACGAATACTCAAACTGGCTAACTAAACTTGGCTGGGTGTTCGCTGGTTGGTATGCTATGATAAGAAGAAGACTATCGGGCTGTTCACTTGGAAGTGAACTCGTTACTTGTATCAAAGATGTCAAACTAATATGATAAGATTGATAACTAAGTTGAGCACGAAGCTCCTATCTAATGGCAGACGTGCCAGTCTTATATAGAACCTTCTTGCTCGTTGATCATTATGATCACCCTGATCCCACTGATCCAGCTCAGCGTTGCTCAGTTGATCACCAATGATCAATGACGGTCACATGACTTCTATCAGATGAAATCCCTGGATCGCTTAGCTAGCCTAAGCATCCCTATTTGCTATAAGAGTGTGTTGCTGGTGCTTAACCTGTCAGGACGCCGCCTGGTCTTTGCTTATCACATGCCAACACGTGATTCGTGACACCGGGGTAGGAGCGGGGGGTTACGGTAAATAGGGAGCCTACTACTAAAAGCCTTTATAAAGAGGGTCTGGGTACTAAGATAAATCTAGAACTTCTTTTAAGGGTTTTCCTTTATAGTTAGGTGCTACTGCTATTCTATAAAACCTTAAACCCTACTAAAACCACCCCTTTTACCTACTTTAGAATAATATATATTTATTCCCCCTGTTAGTAGTTTTCTCTACAACTAAAAGTTCTAGTTAATAGCGACCTTATCTAACTTTTCATAGAATGTACTTTACTAAAAAGTAAAATTCGTTATGTGAGGTTAATACTTGTGAGGTAGCTGTTTTTCTAGGCTAGTTTCGCGTGATTTTCGGTGTAAAAAGTGCACTTCGCGATCTTACTTAACTTTCTTACCTAATAACTTTATAACTTCAGATATGCTGAACAAAACAAGTAGAGGAAATTGATCGTAATCATCTAATTATTAATTATACCAACGTATATAAAATTTATAGGATGGAAGAGTTGAAATATCGTGAAGTGTTTACCCTGAGTTTAGGTGGTATATTAGGGTTTATGTAGTAGCGGTGGTATAGTACTGTAGCTTCGATAATTTAAGGCCTTTCTTTCCAACTACCAGGAAGTTGTCGACGTAGGTGCAAATGATGAATTTTGTAACCTTGTTCATATAAACACAATGGTCCGCTACGAGTGGCCCAAAACCCAATTCCTTTAAACATTGACAAAGTTTATCTTCCCATAGACGGGGGGATTATATGAGTCCCTACAAACTCTTGTTCAATCTGGCAACAAACTCCTTGGTGTCGATTTCGACACTTTTTTTGGTCCATCCTTTGGTTAGAGGTGCGCGAAGTACCGGGCTCATAACCCGTTAGAGGTTCGAAGGAATGGCACTTGGAAACGAGAATAATATGGTATTGTTGCAACGAAAGAGAAAAGAGAGCTATCTACAAAGGTGTAGAGATATATTGGATAACCCAGGACTAGCCCCTGGGTGGGTCCAATATATCCTGAGGCATAAATTAGGCTCTGTAGACTCGGAGTATCCACCAGCAAGTACTTATACGCTTCTATTCTCTTAGCCAGAATTACAATCAGACATTACACCATTTTTGCATTTGTTTAGTTCCATTTGCTTGATTTTACTTGATGTCTCTATACCGACACTAAAGCCGCAATGAACATTACACAAGACATTTGAAGGTGTATTTTCCTCACTTACTTCGAGATGAAACTTTATTAAAAAGCAAGATCATAGAAGCCCACCTCTTGGCTTTCTTATCTTTCTCCGGATTTACCTTGTAGTGTAGACTTCTTCAGAATCAAAGTGGTACTGACCACCTCTGATGAATCTCATAAATCTAATTTTCCATTCATGACCTATTAAAGCTGTGTTGAGATTTGATTATATTAAGAGGGTTGTGCATTAGCATCCCTGATAATTGTTGGAGTGTCCAAGGCTCTCCAAGCTAGTTTTGCTGTGTCCTTGAATGCATCCCTCTGGCGTATACCATTTCATTACCAATTATAGTGCTTTTGATTTACAACTTCCATCCTGCGACTCCACCATTTCAATGCAACCACTATAGAAAACATCATTACGGTAGAGTGTCTTATCCTATGTACACGATACATGCTAGCATGGTCATTGAAATCGAGAAGTTCGTTCATGTCCTTAGAGCCATTGAGGTAGTCGATTCATAGGAAGCAATTTGGTTTACTCAATTGCAGCATTAAAGGGGTCTAGAAAAGAAGTGGTTGTAGATCGTATTGCTCCTCTTCAGATTCGTGTTCTTGTACAAGTAGTAATAGCGGGATATATAGGTGTATCGGCGTAGTTGGTAAGCGATTTTAGCCTAATCGCCGTGCAAATGATCCTATGTTTGTGTAGGATCATTCAGGATTATTTGTTGAGAGGTAAAACACTCTTGAATTATCAGGATTAATCATCAATTGGACTTGCAATAGAGTCTATGAAAGACTCCTTGAAATGATCTAAGCCAAACACAATATAACTTTTATCTTCTCCTTTTCAACTGTGTTGTTTCCACTGGTGTTAACACCTGGCCAACTCAATGAGTGCCGAACAATGAGTTCACTCACTGGAGGAAGATATAATTCTAGTGGATTCTCGGAATTACTGACGCGCTTACAGAAAGTTCCCCCTGTCGATTGACGGTAAGCTATGTCCGAGTGCTCAGTAGATACCCTGTAAGATCCTACTTGCCCCCGTCAGCCCCAACCTTCCTGTATGGCTTGGTTTGGGAATTTTTATTGAAGCACCGTCGTCTTCCCACTTTTTAATCACGGGTTTCCTTCCTTCTGGCGACAGTATCTGTACGAGAACCATGTCTCGAAGGTAGCTCAGGTCTTTTCATGAATGAGGACCAATGCAGCTCTACAGCTGGTGGTCACTGGTCTTTCAACCGCAGAGCTAAAAGAAGTGGATAAAGTCGTCGATGAGAATATTAGTATTTTGACTAGCACATGCTATTTTCCCATTCCAAGTATGAACTTTTAGTACTGTAAGGGCCGTACTATCTCGTAGATAGCTTCATGCTTAACATTTTCTTCTGGCTTAAAATGTGACATACGTGGTCGATTGGGTCGGTTAGCGGTGCGTTCTTGGGGTACGCGTTGTTTTGAGGATCCGAATAGCTAGGCATGGAAAGATGTGTTGCCATTTGGGGCAATTTGGGGCGATCGGTGTATCCATATAGGAAGACTATAGAGAAATACCTAGGCAACTCAAAAAACAATAAGTGGAGACCCAGACCAGGGTGTCTTCACCGGGGAGCACTTTATCAACATAAGACTCATTGATGTTTTTGCTTTACCTAAAATCAACACCATGATTACAGAACCAGAGAAGTCTATAGCTAGATTAGTCGGGCTCTAGGAGCTTGATTGCTTGTCTCGAGGACCAGACTCGAGTGGTTGGGAAATGAAAATGCCTCCATGGTCGGCTTGCCGCTTTACTGTACGCTGAAATGTTGGTGCCCCTCTGTTGGTTGGTGTTGGTGGTTGGACCTTTGGAAATTACTGGAACACTAGTAAAGAAGTACATATGCGCTTGCCCACAGCCGCCCCGATTGCTAAGTATCTGTGAATATTCAATGATGAATAATTCACAAATCTCGCCTGTGGTGGCGACTGCATTCGTGGGCCTCGCCAGTCTGTTTGGGATTTTCTTCACCAAGCTTTACCGGGCTCGATCATATGTCCGAGATCTCAGGGGGAGAGGTTGGGTATTTTACTCCAAAAATCTATCAAAGATGCTTTCTTTGAATGCTAACTTCTATTTTTCAGCCGGTAGCCCCGAACCACAGCTTTTTCTTCGGCCATCTGTTGTATTTGAAAAAACATGTCGATAAATCACCCCCAGAAGCGCATTATCTTTATCCCATCAGTGATATCTACCTCGAAACTTCCAGAAAGAGGGAGCTTTCTATTTGGATATGTGGCCTATAAACCCCCTGTTTTTTGCGGTGTTCTCCCCGGACACTGCTACCTCAGTAACACAGACCAATCCTCATACCTGTTCGCAGAGACCTGAATCTCTCCCGGAGTTCTTTAAGCCTATTGCCGGAGGTCCAAATCTTTTCGATATGCCAGAGTCCGACTGGAAAGCGTGGCGTGGTGTTTTCAACAGGGGGTTCAACACCGAGCACTGCCAGTCTTTGGTTCCAGGGATGGTCAAACAGACTCTGGTTTTCAGGGAAACCATGCGAGAGCATGCGCGTAAAGGAGACATTTTCTATCTCGATACAACTACTCTACGCTTCATGATTGACATGATTGGCGAAACCATCCTGTGAGTAGCCTCGTGATCTCGCTTAACTAAATAAAGCTCAAGTCTTATATATTTTCGCACTTGGAAATACTGAGCTCTGTGCTCAGACTGGTTACAACACACTGGCAGATTGCATGATAAGCCAGATCCACTGGATTGCCCCAACAGGATTTAACCCTTTCGCATCATTCAACCTTGTACGCGGCTTCATACACTGGTGGAACTCCCGCAAAATGAATCTCTACATCGGCGAGGAAGTGGATAGACGTTATCTGGAATACAAAATTGACACAGAAAAAAAACGGAGCCGAGCTGTGATAGATCTTGTCCTTCAAACTTATCTTGAGAATGATACTGGCAAAACACATGAGAAACTTGATCCAGATTTCCGAGCGTTTGCCATTCGGCAAATTCGACTCTTTGTGTACGTTGGACACGACACGACTAGCAGCACGATTTGCTATTGCATTCATCTTCTTTCAAAAAATGCCGATGCTTTAGCGAAGCTTCGGGCGGAGCACAATGCCATCCTGGGCGAAGACATCGAAGCAGTCTCATCGACTATCATTGAACAACCGCAACTCCTTAATGATCTAACGTACACCAACGCAATAATAATAGAAACACTCAGGTTTTTCCCGCCAGCCAACGGGGTACGTCAAGGCTCAAGACTTACACATATACTTGACGACACCGGAAATTCCTGCCCGACAGATCGAGCTATGATCTGGGTCGGACACATGCAGATGCAGACGGCACCAAAATACTGGGTTCGACCACTTGAGTTTCTTCCTGAACGATGATTGGTAGAACCTAGGCATGAGCTTTACCCACTCAAAGGAGCATGGCGGCCCTTCGAACAGGGGCCGCGAAATTGCATTGCACAAGGACTGGTCATGATTGAACTGAAAGTTGTGCTCGCACATTTAGTCAGAGAGTTTGATTTTGAAGACGCCTATGATGAGTGGGACATTGCAAATCCAAGGAAGGGTCTGAAAATATGTAGAGGGGAAAGGGCTTTTCAGATTGATGAAGGAGCAGCGCATCCTGCTGAACACTATCCTTGCAGAGTTTCTTTTCATGGGCATAGAGAAAAATGAAGATTGGTATTGCGCTAAACAATGGCCTCAACTATGCGGTCTTGACGTTTTCGGCTTTGAGGGGCCGATGCTCAAGATAGATAAGAGGATGAAAACCCCAAAAGCCTTCAGTCTCTTCCTAGATCTCCCAAACAAATGCATCCTTCGTCCCACGCCTCAACTTTTATCCCTCCAAACACCGCTCATATCTTGGATCTTTCTCCTCGAAGGCTCTGACCTCAAACCATCTTGATGTCCTGCATGACCCTCGAGAAAACTTCTTCCTCGTCCTCTTGCAAACCATTCTGCAGCGATTACCGGAACCCAACTCTTCACTTTCTCGACTCGCGGCTTTTTCATCCTTTTTTCTTGCCTTTGCCTCCTGTCATGGATACTCTTGGTTTATCGTACCAATCCGTACTGCATGTCTGTATTGAAGCTCTAGTTGTAATTGAACATCCGATTGCCACTCTGTTTCCCTTCGTCGACCATTACTTTGTGGCCATGCCGTGCACTTTTGTATTCTACCCCAGGCTTCTATTTACCATGTAATCGAGAGGACAAAAAAGTTAAGTTATTTCGAGCACAGCCTTCATTCGGAAGTTTTTGCCTCGCACGTGTCCAGAATCCAGGACTTGAGATGTAGACATCTCGCTAAGCGAGTGCAAACCCTCGATCGCAATGTATTGCCAAAAGCCGCACCCCGATTTGTTGCCTGAAATTCTATTGCCAGCATTCACATGCTACCTGGAGGGTTTGTAAGTTTCTTCCAGAAAACCCAATATTTGAGGATTCTCAGGGGCTCGCTTAACATCTCTCTCTTGGCACCCTTCACACCCAATAAAGGACGAACCGCGAAATATCCCAAAACAATCTTTTCGTATAGCCTTAATATATTATATTACAACAAAGTATTCAAAACTTCTATATTTTCGAAAAGACCCACATCAGATCATGATCACAGTTCATAACATCAACATCCTACACCCAGTGCATCAAATACATATTCCATCCCAACATCTTAACATCCAACCCTGTAACACCTCAACAACATCACAAACCTGACTCCTATACCTTAAAACATTTCCCACGTCCATCAAATTCATGTTCTCCTGTCCAAAAAAGGAGGAAAAACACTTCTTTCCAACCGTCCTTTATGATCACACCGGTCACGGCTAGCCGTCAGACACCACGGGCCACTTCCCATTTCCCAATTACAAAACACGTTCCTCCGCTCATCTTATTCACTCCTTTCCTCGAAAGTTACTTACACGCTCAACACCCAGACAAGGCCCCTCTTCCTAGTACAGGTCCCCCATACATATCAGCAATCCCAACAAAATCGTACTCTTATACCAAAGTGCCGCCTACCACCTCTCCGCTCTCATCAGCATCTTTGCCAAGAGCTTATAACTTCAAAATGCAACTATATTATCTGTCTATACCTTTCCACCTTAAATCCCGTAAGACAGGTTTGTGTAAGTAGTGTTCAGATTCCGCTCAGAATTATCAAGACCGATTTGTATGGTGATTAGCACCCATCCTGCCCCCACCTTCCACGCAGCAAGATCAAAAAGTAAATGGATGCTACTCCAATATCAGAAATCTAAACAGGTAAGGTAGAGCCGTCCCCCTTCTCCCCTCGCCCCAAAACCTCGCAAACCCGCCCACTGTTTGCCTCAGTGAGCGGGAGCTATTAATTCAGGCTAATTAATAAGGTAAAAGAAATACTGAGGGTGGATTACCGGATAAGTATGGAGTACGTTTTAAAATCGGAATCGAAATTAGATCATGAAGGGACGAAGTATTACGTATATGTACGAGAGCTTGAGAGATTTGGTGGGTACAGTACTTGATAGAAGAAACACCAGTAGCTGCGTAGCGTCTCTTCACGAGAATCCGGTAAGAACTAGTATCCTCTTGAGCATTCCAAATGGTTCCGAAGCAACGTATCCGTTGAACAGAAAAGTCAACCAGAAAAAGAAAGCCAACACATCCCCGCCCTTCCTCTCCGTCTCACTTGAACCGCAGGTTTTGAGCCATAGAATCGTGATGAACGTAGAAAAGCGAGACAAGGGTTTACTGCCAAACTCTTATATCCACCACGAGCCGAGCCTGAATACCAGCAAATGCACCCGTGTCCGGACTGCTTATCCGACGAACCCCGCAGCAAACAAAGACTCTGTATACGAGTTGACGTCGAGTCTTAGCACGGACAATACCCACTTCTACACAATTCATGTATTAGTAACAAGTATTAAATTCTTTCTTACAAGCACTTACATGCATAATCCAAGACCAGTCCCACAATACACGTCACATTCCTCATCACTACCACGTCTTGGATGTGGTGTTACAGCTGTTACTTTTGCTACGCGTAAGAGCGTGACGAGGGAGATAAGAGCGAGTTTGGCTGATGCGAAGCGCATGTTGGGATTTGTTGCTTGAATATACCCAAGAGTAGGAAATATGTTAGGACACGCCAAGGCTGTGTAGAGAGTAGTTTGGGGGTTTACTCGTTTATGTACATATTGGACAGTAGTAGAAAATCCAATTCTAGGATCTCCTCGTATATCCTTACATCGAATTCCATCTAGACTCATCTTATTCCTTACCCCGTAAATCCCCAAAAACCGGTAGGCAAAACGTCAAAACTAGTTTTGGCCTTACTAGCAGTACTCTCGCTAACCAAACTGGTAGGATTCTACTGGCCAAACTTAATAAGAAAGTTCTGCCTACCGGTTTTTGGGGAGTTACGAAGTAAAGGAGAGTTTTACTTTAGTGCCGTTAAAACTCAACCCAAGGTGTTTCCGAGCATATGAGAATAGCAGACTTTTCCTTGAAGTACCTAGGTTTGTAATGCAAAACAGATCTTCTGACGTAACATATTTTATGCACAGATAAGTCAACCGTTGGTAGAATATTTGGTCTCCACTCCACTATGGTAGGTTAGAACCCAGCCATAGTATTAGCCCTGAGTATTAGGGCCCCAATACCTTACACCGCACACATAGATAGCTCTCTGTTTACTCCGCTCACATTAATTCAAGCATATTCCACACCCAATATCGTTATTCCCCTGAACATTTCCGCTGTGTTCTCCACAACACCTGTTAAAAAAATGGAAAGAATGATAACATCCCCTCCCTTCCATAACACCCCAACCACAGATTCGAGCCAAGTTTTATATCCTCAACAAGCCTAGATACCAGCAATCAACCCATGACCCATGCCAAAACTGCCTATCCGACCGATCCCAACATGGACACCGTATAAGTGTTGGAGAGAAGCCTTAACGTGGCAAGCATTTGCAAACCTTCTCCCTATACACCTCCCGTATCAGTACTGAGCAGTATTTTGTTCCCTTCGAGTACTTACGGGCCAGGGCAAGTCGGACTACCCCCTGAACCACAGACATCATATGGACAATCTGAGGCAATTTGACAGTTCACGGCTGCTACTTCTGTCACGCTTAAAAGCGTGACGAGGGAGATGAGGGTGAATTTAAGTGACGCGAAACGCATGTTGGACTTCTGTTCGAGTATTGAGATGGATAATCAAGAATAATGAAATGAAATGAAGTGGGATGGTGGATGATTACTTGTATGGAGAGAGGAAGAAGGGAGGCCACTTATTTATCTACACAGCAGAAACTCGATACAAGGACATCCTCGTTCATATCCCTAGCACATCTGGCCCTGACTGACGCTTATACATGTATTGAGTTTCATCTCGACCTCATCTTATGCTTCGGATACATTTCGAAATCAATTCGTCCCAGGCATAACAAACGTAAAAAGTAGTGTCGTCCGTCAAGTCAACCTTGGTAAGAACACCGATTGTTCGCTAACCTTCTGGAACGACTTTAATCTATCCGAATTCGCTCAATGGGTGTTTATACCTGTCACCGCCAATATGATTTTTTAACTTACTAATCTGGTTTAATACTATTTCCTTAATATTCAAGAAAGGTTCAACTTAACCTTAAATCTTAATCCTTCTTTTTTAAGGCTCGTATATTTAGTATTACTAATAACCTTCAACGTTACTAAGTTTATAAGGCTCTATGATTAGGGTGGACAGTTAATGCTAGACACTATCACGTAGATCATATGTAAAAAAAAGTCTATATCGCCTGGATGTAGGTCTTTGATTCGCTGGTTTGGCTAAAAGGCGGGGCCGAGACGTACTATGATCAGCGGCAGTGTCTAGCTTTAACTGTTCACCCCCTTTAGGATAATATCTATATTGGTCCGTAGAGTTTTCATGGGATTTTTAGTGGAGTAAAGGGTAAATCTCCTAGACAAAGTACTTAGTTACGTTCTAGTATTATTCGAATTATACCCGTACACTCATTCCTACAGAAGTAGAAATAAATATAAGGGTCTATAGCTAGCACTCGTACTCTATTCCAGGCTCTCCTCTCTCCTCTCAGAGGATTTTAAGCTTAGCATCATCAAATTTCCAAAAAAGGCCAGATTTACGGCCTGTTTGACTCAGATCAATAAAGTTTAGCATTTTCCAAAGCGTACCCCAGATTTCACAAAACTCGTAAAAGCTCTATTCGCTTATCGATTATAAGTCAGAGCTATACTCGAATCAAACCCTTTTTTGGATGGAATTTTTCTGTATTATTGTACTTAGACGTGTAATAAAAGTGATTCCTACTCAAAAAACACATTTACTCCCCCCATCCACCAAATCAGCTACCCAGCCTTATCATAAATCTCAAATCTTCGTAAACCCCTCCTTAGGAGGCTGCAACCAATTCAATCCATCATACACACATCCCTCCCCCTCAATAACATGAAACGTATATATAATCCTCCCCTTCCCACTAGTATTCCTCTCACTCTTATGCAGCAAATTCCCATGAATCAGCACCAACGTCCCCGCCTTCACCTCACCAGGTACATAACTCCCCTCTCCCACCCCCTCCCTTTCCCTTTCCCCATACCCCCCACCCACAGGAAACCGTCTCCCCTCATTCCCAACAAACTCCGTCCCCTCTCCCCCCCTCTTCCTCACAAACCTCTTCCCCACCTCCGCAGTCTTATTACTACCAGGTAAGAAAGACAAACACCCATTCTGTAGCGTCGCATCCTCAAGCGCATACCAGAAACCGACCGCAGACGGCGGGTCGGTATACAAGAACGTCGAGTCCTGGTGTGGCGGGACGGCGCCGCCGATTTCGGGCTGTTTGCAGATGACCATGCTTTGCAGACAGCGCGGGTCTTGGAAACCTAGGGAGCGGGCGATTGCGCCGGGGGAATGTTTGGGTGAGGAGGAGGAGGAGGGTGAGAGTAAGGAGGCGAAGGGGGGTGAGAGGACGTGAAGGGAGTGGCCTATTTTGTTGATTGCTAGGTTTTTTGGTTTGGTTAGGATGCCGGATTTATCGAAGGCGTCTGTTCCATACACATCCCGATTAGCATGTTTACAAAAAACCACACCCCTCCCCTGTCTGAAAGGTTGATCACCCACCTTCTTCGAAGAAAAACCGTATCTTATCACCACTTGTAAGGAAGTAATCGTCTCCAACATGCTCAACATCCTCCCCCTCCCCCGTCGAGAACTTCGTCATCGGATGGTCGTCTAGCGAGAAGTTATCCAGCATGGAGTGTGTTTCTGCCAGTAGGCTCGCGACAGTCGCCTCGTCTAAAGCGTTGGGAATAAGTAGATAGCCATCGCGTTCGAACTGCTCCAGCTGCTCTTTCGAGAGGCCTTCCTTGGAGGATGGATTTGAAGGTGGTGGGGAAGTGCGTGAGGGTGCCATGTTGGTTGTTTTTGGAGAGGTAATGTGGAGAGTGGCGACGTCAGTGTTGAGCACTCGTAATCAACCTGAGAATAGCTCAGAAAGATTTTTGGTTCAAAAAGCTTCAGTGGGAAAGGGAGGTCTTCGTAGATATCTTTTAGTGAGATGTGAGGAGTTCGTGAATCCAACAAGGGGAGGTCAATAGAGCCCCACTTTAATTACCCCTCCAATTTGATAAGTAAGCCTCGGCAGCGATAAGAGCAACTATTAGATTATTGTTAATGGAATAATAACTCGCTTTATATTAGCTAGCAAGAAATTTGTTATCCGTAGTCTAGACGGGATTGAATGATCTAGGAACATTTGGAGGCTGCTTGGGGAAGTAAATTCAGTATTACGGGATGAGTGTGGGAGTAGACAGAAAAACACCCCTTGCGTTACAGTACTCGTAGACAAGTGTATTTCCTTGTACAGATATCTTCAAATCCAACCAAACAATCAGAGCAACTATGGCTCAGAATTAAAGAGCTCAATTGAATTCCAAGATAGAATGAAACATGACTCTGAATCTTCAAACCCAGAATCACTCCTCAGCCATACCGACTTAAGTGAGAACATTTTCATTATTTCATATTTCCCACCATGTTGCAGTTTAGTTAGCGGAACATCGTCCCAAAGGCCACCCAGTTCTCTCATAAATTACTACCAAACCAATGGTATCTCCCAATCAAGCAAAACGCCCCACCATCCCATCTGAAAATATCGTACTTTTTGTCAACCCCATAAAATGACCACAAATAGCCAGCCGGCAACCTGGAAACCAAATATCATCTTAAGCCTCAACTGCAGTCTCAACCTTGGCTTTCTTATTCTCACTCTCCTCAACTTCTTCCTCCGCCTTGCGCTTTCCATTTGTGCCATTGGTTGTAGTTGCGACAGGCTCTGGTGTAGCTTCTGCCGTCTTTTCACCCTTCTTTCGACGAACGAGACCAGTCAGATCTGTGGCTGTTTTCTTGGCTTCCTCGATTCTGGTGGCTGCTTGGGCGGGAGATTCTCCTATAGCTGCACCAAGGACTCCACCCATTGCGTTGCCACCCCCCATACCTAGGGTTTCTTTGATCCCGTCGACATCTACGGCTGGTGCTTTCAATTCACTGAGCTGAAATACAATGTTAACTTTTGAAATTATGTGGTACAGAGAGAGAGAGAGAGAGAGAGCTTACTTTGACCTCCAATTGAGCGACCATTTCCTTAACATCGGCAATTTGTGCCCGAGTAATCACATTGTCATCAGGGGATGAGCAAGAGGCAAGTTCGACTTCTTTGGCTTGTAACTTGGCATTCGTGATGTCAATTGCAGCCTGCATCTCCTTGATTGCCTCTTCTCTAAGAGCTTGACCATCCTCGACTTCGGTGTCGTTCTCCGTTGATTTGCCATCTTCGCCCTCAGGCTTTTCGGTTGTAGATGAAGCAAATTCCAATGCAAGGGCGAGTTTGTAGTGACCTTCGGCCATGACTTCGGATTCCTCAGGGTACAACTCCTTCTTGTATACTAACGAAACTCGGAAATCAGAAACTGCAGCAGGGAATCTATAGATATTAGCGATATTCAAAGCCCAATCAATTGGCCAATTCACCTCTCGTTCTCGAGAGAAATCTCCGCCAAAAGGTCGTGGGTATCTGCCAGTCTCTCCTTGACATGTTTTGTCATTGATGAATCTCCGACTTCCTTTCCCTTTCCCTCGCCATCTTCTGGTGCCTCTAATTTCTTGGTGAACAAAACTCGAGCGAGATCCAAAATTTGAAAGGCGGCTGCGAGATCATCTTCTTCCTCTTCCTCGTCTCCTTCCGCGTCATCGCCCTAGCCAACGGTAAGAATATGTGATGATAAGCAGTGGAGCAAGTACATACCTCAGCATCCTCATCGTCAGAACCCTCAAAGTTCTCATCGCCAGTAAATTGGAACAATGGTTTCTTCTTCTCAATTTCATCCTTTGCGCCACTTGCTTGGTCTGCAATAACAGCGACACCTTCCTCGGCAACCAGCTCGCTCTTGGTCTTCTCCTCCTCCTTTGGTTTCTCAGTCTTTGGCTTCGCAGCTGGTTTCTTGTCCTTCTTCTTCTCTCCCGACGCTCTACCACCTAGAACATCACTCTTGCTCTGACCGACTTTGAAAACTGATCTGCCATAAAGAAACAAGATCTCAGCATTCTCGGGGGACATCTCGCCATTTAGCTCAGCCTGCAACTCCGAAGCTTGGGAGAACAAATCCGATGCTTCCTCATAGTTCTTGTGCGCATATTGCGCGGTTGCCTTGGCGCAAAGATCTGCTAATGACACTTTGGCGGAATTGAATGCCTCTGTTGCGGACGACGCATCTTCAGATTGCGCGACGGCTGGTTCCATGTCAATGGGATTTGCGACAGTTTCTGGATTGTCTGCCATTGTATCGTTGGAGTTGTTGATATTTTATATCGATCGTAATTCAATGTTATCAATGAAGAAGGGGTTGAAATGGATTAATGGGATAGTGTGTCGAATGGTGTTCACTATTGTTTTTGAATGAGAGATGGTGTTTGCGACAAGCTTCAACTTCAAAGCTGGGAGGGCTCTGGCACGGGCGCGGGCTATGATGCTGAGCTCGGCAGTGACCCACAGTGACCCACAGTGACCCACCTCGTGAGTAAAAGTGGCAGTGAGGAAGGAGCCTTGGGAGGTTCTCATAACTCACTACCTCCGTACCTAGGTAGATCTGATGGATAGATTCAATTCAGCAGCGAATTCTGAGGAGAATAGTTTTCTCAACTGACCAGACACTTCGAGTGAAAATAGCGAATCCCTTTCTTCGAATACTACCTAGCACCAGCTAGAAAAGCCACAAGTTAACTACCTAGGTATTCTAGAAGATCCACCCACGAGAGCTTTCCACTGCCGCTTTTATTTTTCATGAAATCCACGCGGAGCACTCTACGCGACACGAACGCGTCTACCAGAAAATTGAATGTGTCTCCATTTACATAGGGACGCCCTAAATAACCACAACCCTCAAAAACCTACTATTATCACCCACAATGAGCAAATCTCTCCCCACCGGAAAGCCCAAAACGGCTTCAATATTCAAAGCCCCCGAAACTCCCGCACCCGCAAATCCAATTCCGTCCTCCTCCCCCGCCTTTGGCACGCCGGCGCATACCATAAGACCTTTCAATCCACCTGCAGTCGCCCCGAAAGCGAGCATTCTCCCCGTCCTCCTGCCTCCCGTGACACTAAGACCGCTTGCTTTTCGAACGTTTACTAAGAAACATAGTTTGACTCTTACGTCGTCGGCTTTGCAGGTTATTGCGACGTTTATTGGGAGGCATTGTGGGACAGGATGGAGGGAAGAGGGCTTGGCTGAGAAGGTGTTGGAGGAGGTCGCTAAAAGTTGGAAGGCGAGGAGTGGCGGTGTAATTGTGGATGGGGAGAAGGGGGCATTGAAGGATATCTTGAAGAATTTAGAAGGGAGTATGGTGGGTGGGAGGATTGTGGTTGCGAGAGAACTGAGTCGGCAGAATAGTCTTGTTCTTGGGTCTTCACAATCTGGCGAAGTTTCTCATACAAGGTTAGGTCTACGGCCTATTTCTCTGGTAAGAGAGGATAGTCAATCGAGTTTTGGAATATCGGGCTTGGGGGTTGAGGAAGACGAGGAGGAAGATGAGAACCGGGATCCTAGAAAGTGGCTCAAAGTTATAGATGCCTTTGAACAGCCACGACTGATCTATAATGTGGGAAAGAAACATTTTGATAAGTATATGATCACTTTCAAAAATATCACAAAAACTCCTCTAATGCATTTCAGGGACACATCAAAACCATCACTTCTCCCACCGGCGTCACATAAAACGCAAGTTTTCCGGAATAGATACAACCTAATACACCAACGCCTTTTAAGAAATGAATCCTTCCAAGCTCCAACTTTTGAAACAGGCAAAGCCTCACTTCGACGTTCCTCGTCAAATATAGCTCAGCAATCTTACAAACTCACGCCAATTGCAAATCTTCTGGGGCGTAATGGAAGTACCCACATGCTTTTAGGTCTTCTCACTATAACACCTACCGGCACACTAGCAATAAACGACTTGACCGGAAGCATTGCCCTTGATCTTACACACGCCAAACCACTACCAGAAGATGGTGCCTGGTTTGCTCCAGGAATGATAGTAATAGTCGACGGGACATACGAAGAAGACGACAATAACGCTGGTGGACTCGGTGGAAGCGGCGGTATTGGCGGTACAATCGGAGGGAAATTTATTGGATTTTTTATCGGTGGTCCACCCTGTGAGAGAAGGCAAACAACCCTCGGTCTCAGTGGAAAAAACGGAGATGGAGACATCACTGCTGGAGGAGGATTCGGCTGGGTGGACTTCTTAGGCTTAGGAAGCGAACGAGCAGTCGGTTCAAAGATGCGCAAAATCTCACAACGCCTTCTCAAGCCCCCCTCCGAAGAAGAAGACGAGAGTGAAGGCAGAGGAAGAATAATCATCATCGGCGAAGTAACACTCGATAAACCCGCCACTCTCCAAGCCCTCAAAAAACTCCTCGCTCTCTACGCTGCAGAAACAGAGGAAAACACACCCATGACCTTTATCCTCCTGGGAAACTTCGTCACACACCCCATCATGGCCCGCGGTGGAAGTGGGGGTAGTATAGAATACAAAGAATACTTTGATACCCTTGCCCTCACACTTGCCGAGTATCCCACGCTCCTCCAAGCCTCAACTTTCATCTTCGTCCCCGGCGACAACGACGGCTGGAACTCATCCTTCTCCGCCGGCGCCGCGACGACACTTCCCCGTCCTGGCGTCCCAGAAGTCTTCACCTCGCGCATAAAACGGGCGTTCGCGAGCGCAAACGCAGAATTAGAGAAAGAGCGTGGGACAAAAGGGGATGGAGAAGCGATCTGGACGAGTAACCCGACGAGAGTTTTATTATTTGGACCCAATCATGAGATCCTGGTGTTTAGAGACAACATGACGAGCCGACTCCGCCGTACAGCCATCCGCTTCTCATCCTCAACTCCCACCGTCGAAGATGACCACGACATCCAAATGTCCAACACACCCCCTCCCCCCTCCTCCCCACCACAACAAACATCCCCCCAACCAGAGGAAGAGCCCTCCTCCCCCATCTCAGCACCTCAACCAGCCTCCGAATCCACTCTCCACGCCGCCCGCAAACTCACAAAAACCATCCTCGACCAAGGGAACTTATCACCCTTCCCCCTCTCCATCCGTCCCGTGCTATGGGACTACACCTCCCCCCTGCAGATATACCCGCTTCCCACCGCGATGGTGCTGGCAGACACGGATACAGATGCGTTCTGTGTTACGTACGAGGGGTGTCATGTTATGAATCCCGGGTGTGTGGTTGCGCCTGGGAGAAGGGGGGTTGCGAGGTGGGTGGAGTATGGGGTTGTGAAGGGGACGGGGAGGGTGAGGGAGTGTTTGTTCTAGTTGGGATTGGAGGGGGGGTGCATGGGATGAGGTTATGAAAATGAAAATGAAGATGATAGAGGCGTTTTCTTTGGGATTTGATTAGGGGGAAAGGGGAGTTAGCTTGAGTAGGTATCTAGGTAATTAACTCGAGTAGTGTATATGACCAACAATCAGAATAAGAACATATATACCTAATAAGCAAAAACGTGCCTACTCCGTTACAGTATTTCAGAGTCCCCGTTTCTCAAACCAAGCTCATCTCATCTCATCTTATCTCTTGAAATCATCTCATCGATAGAAAAAGTACTACAGGTACGAAGCAGAATCTCAAATATCCATATTCCAACCCCACTATACCAAGAAACCCGAGACACTTAACTCGTGAGACTATAATCGATCGATCTAGGTACGATACCTAGGTAGTTATCCAAGAATCGGGTATTCTATATGTTATTTATAGTAGGCGGTTTACCTTTTTATCTAAGTGGGAAGAATTTACTTCTTTTTGCTCTGTTCAAATGCTGTTGCTATAACATGCTTACAGTGAGAGGGCTATAGGGCTTAGGTACCTATATATAGGGCAGGGTCAGAAAGCATCCAGAGTAGAATGGAGTAGAATAGAACAGAATAGTGTACCTACTCCCCCTCTTCTAATCTCCCTCATTCACACCCAATCTACACCATCCTCAAAGCTACAATATATCCCAAGACAAGATAAGCAAGTAACCAATGACCATACCATACCATACCATAAAACCAATTAACCAGCACCAGCACCGAAACAAAAGATCCCTTCCTTCTTTACCTTCCTTCTTTCCCTTCCTTCTTTCCTTTCCTTCTTTCCCTTCCTTCTTTCCCTTCCTTCTTTCCCTTCCTTCTTTCCCTTCCTTCTTTCCCTTCCTTCTTTCCCTTCCTTCCTTCCCTTTGTCAATTCAAATCAAATCAATTCACATTTTTACTTCCAAATTCCCTCCTACGAGTCCTACCCACCACCTCAAATTTCACACCCGAGTCCTGACAAAACATTCGCATCACATCACATCACAAAACAAAACACATTACGAAGGGCTATAGTAATAAACAACCAAGTATCTCATTTCATCCTTTTACACTATCTATTTACTTACCCCTCAAAAGAGCCGAGTTGCTGGAAAGAAAAAAGATAGAAGGGTGGGGGGGGAGAGTTAGCGGCTAGAGTACGTAACTTTGTAATTACAGACCGCAAAGATATAGTAACATAACATGCTCAGTTCCCCAACATCTCGGTTTTCATAACCGGTACCTACCTAGTATATTCAAGTTCATATTCATATCCAGGTCCACAAGTAAACCAAGTACTACAGTATCACAGAATTTCTCCCCTCCCCCCCCTACCCCCCATTAATAATTACAGAAGAAACACAGAAGAAAGAAGCGAGCTAAAGAAAAAGCACATTGAACACAAAACACATTATCCACAACATTGCTTGAATTAACTTTTCTCTTCTGCTCTCATCAAGAACCCCACCCCTCCCCACCACCACACCATAAAAGAACCCCTCTTGCTCAAAAAGAACCACAAAGTCCTTCCTAACAAACAAACACCACCCATCCCCATCATCCCAATACGAATCCCAAATTCAAATCCATGCAACGTTCAAGTTCAAATTCAAGAGCAAGTTTCCCAAGTTCCCCTCCCATAAGGCAAAGCAAAGCAAGTCCAACGTTCCCTTATCCTCAACCTCAACCCCTAGCATAAGGATGGAATCCCCGCTGACCACCCTGCCCACCCCCTCTCCCCCCACGATAATTCGCACCAGGTTTCCCCGCATTCTTCGGACCCGTNGGAATCCCCGCTGACCACCCTGCCCACCCCCTCTCCCCCCACGATAATTCGCACCAGGTTTCCCCGCATTCTTCGGACCCGTCGGCGCCCCAGCTGGAGGAGCACTAACCGGACCACCCGAAGGAGGGGCGGAGCCACGATTACTACCTCCACTGCCTCCTCGGAAACCACCTCGTCCACCGCCGCCGCCGCCGGTAGTAGGAAGTGCAGGTTGCGGGACATCATCGTACATGCCTTCCCACGAGGTCGGTCCATTCGCACCACTCATGCCGTATCCGCCTCCACCGCCGCCGTACTGGCTCTGCTCGCGAGAAGCACGACGCATTTGCTGTTGTTCGTACTTCTGCTGCTCGAACATCTGTTGCTCATAGGCGTTGTAACCGGGCGTGCCAATTCGGCCTCCGGGGTTGCTTCCTCCACCTGCGGCATAGGAGCCATTGCCCATCGCAGCGTTTCCATTGCCGCCTCCCATGCCTTGCATGCCCATTTGCTGCATCTGTTGCATTTGTTGCATCTGCTGCATCATAGCAGGATTCATGCCTTGCATTCCAGTACTTGGACTTTGAGGGCTCTGGCTTCGACCACCGGCCACGCCACCAGCTTGCATTTGGGCCTGCATGGCTTGCATCTGTTGCATTTGCATCATCTGTTGCATCATAGCAGGATTCATACCCATACCAGGCATTCCGGCTCCTCGACCCATCTGTTGCATCATTTGAAAGTACTGCTGCATGCGTTGCATGTATTGGGCCATGACTTGGGGTGTCATTCCACCTTGAGCCATATTGCCAGCTCCTGTTTGGGCATTCTGGTTCTGACTTTGCATCTCATCATTGCCGCCCTTTCGGAATCGTCCACCGCCTCCTCCTCCACCACCTCTACCTCCGCCTCCTCGAGCTTCCTCTTCCTCTCGCATGTTACCTCTTGGTTGGGCTTTCTTAACCTCGATTGCCTTTCCAAGAATCTCAAGAGGAGCCTCAAGACATGCTTCAACTGCGGCTTCGCTGTCAAAGGTGACGAATCCGAATCCACGTGGTCTGCCGGTATCTTTGTCCATCATGAGAGTAGCATCTACGACTCGACCGAATTGCATAAAGTACTCTTTGAAGTCTTGCTCAGTGGCCTCTTGGCTGACACCTCCGACAAAGATCTTGCTGGTACGTTCTTGCTCATCTCGAGGAATAGCTCTCTTTGGGTCGATCTGTTATGTGTTAGTAATTTTCTAGGACAATTGTACGGAAATAAAAAGAAGAAAAGGAAATCCTTACAATCTTGCCATCCAAATAGTGCTCCTTGACCATGACAATGTTAACAGTTCTCGCATCCTTGAATGTCAAGAATCCGAAACCTCGTGATCGTTGGGAAACACTATCTCTCATGACCGTACATTCTAAGACCTCGCCGAACTGAGAAAAGTATTCTTTCAATGATTCTATTTGAGATTAGTTATGTATCTATGGACTGTGAGGTTGCACTCTCAAAGCATCATTACTTACGATCCGTAGTCTCCCAGTTCAATCCACCAATGAACATCTTCCTGCATAGTCACGACTAGTCAGCAATCTATCCTATTCTAGTGATACAAGAAAAACATCAGATAATTGTCGGAAGTGGCTAAACGTTGTGAAAATCTCCTCCCCTATTTCCAATCGGTTGTGGCATTCCTTTGTGGGCACAGTGTCATGTTTCGCTTGAGACATTTTTTTCGGACGCCCCTGGCTAGGCAAATGTTGTCGGTGCAATAATTCAAGCTTGGTAGGACTGGCATTTTGCCCAGCGACCAACCGACTAGGCTGTATGTTGAGTTGTTTGATGAGGTCGGTTTCTGATAGTGGTGAAATACCGGTTGATGTCTGAACTGCATGTACAGATGGCATGCTAATGGAACCCATGGAAGTCATGAAAAGAGCAAGATTGACACCAGGGATTCCAAGATCAAATCGTGTCTTTTGCTATCGTCATGCTAGGTTGCTAGGTACTGGCGTGGAGCGCTATACGCTGCTTGTTCTGCTAAGCCTATCTGTGGCCACAAACTGATGCTCTATGAAGATAATCTCGACAATAGGCTATGTAGGCTTCTGACTATGGCAGTTGTTGTCGATTGCACACCAGGCAAAAACTTTTCCAGTTCCCCGAACCAGGCCTCTCCTCCATCTGCAGTCTCTAGCATCGGCCACGCTAGGTATGAATTTGCCCTGAACAATTGCCCAACCCCAGCCTGTAATCGATACTGTACGACGCCAGTACACCATCTTGGCCATATCCTCTAATCGGTGATGAATCGACCCCTCGTCCATACTCAGTATTGTTGCTTGAATTTCTCTTCTGATTGAATGCAAGGTTTGGTTTCTCAGTCCCCAACATGCGACCAGAACTGCCATGCTACTGCCCCAGACTTCCGTTCTTACTGATATTCATTATGTGAAACTGGTCACAGCCTTCATTGATATCCCCATGTCCTCGCAATTTTGAGCAGACCCAACGTCTGCCAATGAACATGCAAACACTGCAAGTGGTTTAAAGTGCTTCCCAGATCTCTAATGTTATGTGTAGACTTTGCGAAATAAGACTTGTAAAATAAAAAAAGAAATTGATCCTTACCCATCTTCCTTGATTCCGGGGCCATGTGCTTCGTGGTTGTTGGCTGACGAGTCATAACTATTTCCATTACCAAGATTGAAATCTATCTCATCCTCCTCCATTTCCTCATCGTTGCCATAGTTCTGGGTGTCCATTTCGCCATTGTGTTCCTCATGTTTAGCTGGCTCCTCTGCCTTTACCTCAACAGGGGCCGGTGGCTCTGGCTTGACTTCGACGGGCTCTGGTTTTGCTGCGGTATCTTCGGTATACCTGCGGGGAAGAGTCAGCAGTGCGATTGTGGGTGATGATCGAATAATTTGAATATTTCCGTTGATTTTGAGATGGAATTGCGGTAGAAGATGAAGCTGAGGAAGTCACCGTGCGACTGCGGAATACGTACAGATCGGCGAAGAGATCATCTTCGAAAGCTTCTGGTTCCGCCATTTTGAATACCACCCTTGATTAGAGAAGAGTCCTGTGTCAATTCCCGCACGAAAGGATGCGCGTGGTTCGTAATTGATCGCAAGGAAAGGTTGCGGGGGTTCTCCTGTGTCCTGGTCGAAGGCGGAAAGCGGAGAGAAGGGAAAAACTTGGAAGGATTAAAGAATCTAAAGAGAGACGTGAAGAGGAAGAATGGTTAGTTTAGACAAGTCGCCTTCAATGAGCAGATCTCAGGTATGCGACGACGGAGAAGAAGTAGATTAGGGTCGACACAGAGGAGCGTTGGATGTTGATGTCGAAGTGGCAGTGAGTGGTTGCTCCGGGAGTCTGCAGATTCAGTGCAGGTGCTTTTGAAGCTAAAGGCTAGTAGTACCCGGGTAAGGCTAGTAAGGCTACCTGGTAGCTCAGGCAGAAACCCAGGGGAAGGCCATTAAGGCACCAATCAGACAAGGGTGATGTCAGCTAAGCTACGCTACTGGTACCTGCCCGAGCCTGCTCAGTACCAGAGGCTGCGCTGCGCTACCGAGGCCTGCAGGTGAGGTGTCAAGTGTCCCTCTTATAACACGTGAGGCGGGCAGCCAAGGGCCGTCCGTGAATGAATCCGACGCCGACCTTGAAACCTTGCTTCTGAGATCTCCCATATATCACCAACTCTAGATATCCAAAGCGCAAGGTCAAGGTGTTCATAGGAATGAGGTACAAACCTGGGGATTGAGGATTTCAACATGTTTTCTTCAAATGGCCCCAAGAAGCCGCCGCCGCAGCAGGTTAGTACATCTTTCCTACTTTGTACTTTTCCGACCCCGACTTGTACTAACCTCCCCTCCAACCCCGAGTTACAGAGCTGACTGCAGCTTCTGGCGTAGGAAATGGTACAGGTTGGTTAGTTCATGCCCTTTGAGCAACGAGGTGTCCTTTGCTATATCAAGAAAACGAGGCTGACCTTTGTGTACTGTAGAGAGATCCGAGTATGTACTACTACCCCGCGCATCGCATTCCAATTCCTTCCAATTCGACAAAATGACGAACATGTACTGACGAGGCTTCCAGATCAGCTTCGCCTTTCTGGCGAGGGAGAAGTTCAGAAGCCAGAAGAAACACATCTCCGCAGAAACGGGACCCAGGGCTGGTCGTGGGCGCTTCATATTCGCATACGGATCTATTGAAGATTGACAATCTGTATGTTATATACCAAGGACTCCTTGCATGGAAACCCAAAAGCTGATGTACGACTCAGGTCATTGGCTTCAAGCTCAGGACGACCTCGAACACCTCCCCCGTCTTCGTTGTATAAGACACTCAGTGATACCCCACCTCTAAGTAGACGAGGGGGTGCGATTTCCTCCCCCCCTCGAAGGACATACACAGACTTTCTGTCGCACACGAATAATGATTGGGACACGCAGGATGATGTTGACGAAGATGACGACTATGGTTACGATAATGACGACGGGGATGATTTTGGGTTACCCAGTATGTCCAGTATGAAAAGGAAAACAAAAAAGGCCCCCGCGAAGAACAACCCAGATTTCGTAGGGAATATGGCTCCCTTTGGACAAAGCTTGGAGGGAGGATATGGTGGTTTCGGACCCCGTCGACTTTCAAATAGTGCAGATATTGCCATTGAAAGACCTGCGCCAAGTTATCCTGTTGCAAAGAAAAGCGAGGGAAAGATACTGAGGCCTCAATATAAGGAAATCTTAAGAGACCCAGCAAATTCTCTACATCTCATCAATCACGCTCCAATACACCCAGATTCTTCAACCAAGGAGGTGGATGTTCATAATTCGCGTATAAGTCGGATTAACAAGTTCAAAAAGATATTACAAGCCACTTCGATACCACTAACTGAGCTCAGATCTGCAGCTTGGTCAGGAGTTCCCGAAGAAGTGAGAGCAATGACATGGCAGCTATTACTGGGGTATCTTCCCACAAGTAGTGAGAGGCGTGTAGGGACATTGGAGAGAAAACGGAAGGAATATCTCGATGGAGTTCGACAGGCCTTCGAAAGGACCAGTAACACTTCTGCCTCAGCTGGGAAAGTTAGAGGGTTAGACGAAGCAGTATGGCATCAAATTAGTATTGACGTACCACGTACAAATCCCCATTTAGAGCTTTACAGTTACGAGGCTACACAGCGGTCACTGGAGAGAATCTTATATCTCTGGGCTGTACGGCATCCTGCAAGTGGCTATGTACAAGGGATTAATGATCTTGTAACACCATTTTGGCAAGTTTTTCTTGCGAGTTATATTACCGACTCGGATGTGGAGAGTGGGATGGATCCAGGGCAATTACCAAAGCCCGTCTTGGATGCAGTGGAAGCAGATTCCTTCTGGTGTTTGACAAAACTACTGGACGGGATTCAGGATAATTATATTTTTGCCCAGCCGGGGATTCAACGACAGGTTGCGGCGCTTCATGATCTTACCGCGAGGATCGATCAAGCGCTTGCGAAACACTTGGAGCAGGAGGGCGTGGAGTTTATTCAGTTTAGTTTCCGATGGATGAATTGCCTCTTGATGCGTGAGATTAGTGTCAGGAACACTATCAGAATGTGGGATACATATATGGTTAGTCCTCTTACCCTCTTTCTCATCCCCTTTTCCAAACACTGACCCTCAAATTTCCCAGGCTGAGGAACAAGGCTTCTCCGAATTTCACCTCTATGTCTGCGTCGCCTTCCTGGTGAAATGGTCGGAGAAGCTAAGGAAGATGGATTTCCAGGAGGTCATGATGTTCCTGCAGGCCCTGCCGACGCGGGATTGGGGCGAGAAAGATATCGAGTTGTTGCTTAGCGAGGCGTTTATCTGGCAGAGTTTGTTCAAGGGGTCCGCGTCCCATCTGAGGGGTGGGAGTGATAAGACGCCTTCGAATACTTCGACGGGAGGCTTTTTAGGTAGCTAAAGCTAAAATGGAAGGTTACATTTTTTTGTGAGCGGAGCGGTGATACCGGCCTTTCTTGATATTTCTTTTTTGTGTGTTTTAGTAAGATCATACGGCTTTGTCATTGTGATACTGTGAGATTACAGCTCTTCCAGGAAAGTCGCAAGTTTCTAGGTATATGTATTTACTAGTGCGTTGAGGCATTCCATGAGGTATGTTATTCGTCCTTTATCGTATTCCTTTTCACCTGCCATAGGCCCTGAGATTACAAAATCGATGCTACTTGCACAAGGGGGGCTGGCTGGTTGTATGTACAGTACGTGACGAACACAATTACAGTAGAACCTTGCAGAACAGGAAACAACGATAACAACTTGCTACCAGGAATCGTGGCTTCGCTTCGCTTCGATTCCTCGGGCGTCTGCCTGCCACATGACTGCTAGCACATTCCACAGCTGGCTAGCGTATGTCGCTAGCGTGTTCTTGTACAGTATAAGTGGGTAACACGCCTTGCTTCTCTCCATATGTTAGAGAATACGATCGAGTTATTTGCCTCGAATCCTATCTGAATACAACTCGATTGAATTTATCTTAGGGTTATTAGATGGCGCATTCTGGAGTTGTTGTTGGTTTCTTGGTCTCTTGGTTTCTTGTGTTGTGTCTGCGTTGGATGTACTGTACATGATTTGATGTGGTGAATGGCGTGCATGGCGTGGGGAAGAAGGGGTGGTAGCATGCTATCGATGATTATCACGAGGATAGATTCCAGGAGGGGTTTGAGGATCTTGATTATGAGGATGGGTGTGGTGTATATATATCTTACTACCTAACAAGCCTGACTACATGGACAGCAAAAGCTGTTATCCCAACACAAAACGTATTAAGCGAATATTCAAATATCCAATAGGGAGACAAGGTAGCTATGGCCCTCAGGGGAGAGTCAAAAGTGCACATACCGTAGGGATTGCCACGAAGAACGCAAAGCCGCTTTTCAAGCTTCGCTGACCCAATATCCCAATATACACATAACATATTCCAAATCAAAGTCGGTGGAGTTCCATATCGCCTTATGTTACGAAATTGCTTCAAAACGAGTCCGAAGGGAGCCTGGTGTTACTTGATGTCCTTACGCTGTGATTATGTTATAGGTTTTATTCTTGGAACTAGGGAGATTTGACTGCGACCAAATGAGTGACATCCATGGCTTCTTGTTTTCCAAATCTGTAGCGGAGTTATGCTTGTGCTCGCTTAAAGAAAGGGGGTAAGTTGGTTGCTTTTTCGCAATGAGGAGGTGTAAGCTACAGGGGTGAGTAGTCGAGGCTTTGGATTGGAGATTTTGGAAACAGGTGGCTCGATGGAGTTGTAGGTTTCGCCAGGGAAAAACCGGTACTGTAGTAGGTACGAGATCGGTAGTCCAGATTTTTTCAATGCGCGCGTTTGTGTTGAGCTGACTTGTTGTTATATCTAGGATTTGTGTACTCTGCTTTATACTGACCACATTTCTTCAGAACTGGAAAAGCTAACTCCTTCACTTGCTATGTGTTACCAGCTAGGGAGATTGAATCGAGCTGGCTTATTGTGTCGGTTATCGTTACATTTACTTTAGCATCATCTCAACGCTTTCCTGGGGGTTCTTGTCAAGTTTTCCTTTTCAAATCGGTGGAGCTCTTCTGGCTGGTGCCTCGGGAATGACTTTCGTGTCTGCGACAATAGGTATAAACTTTGGGGTAGAAGTGTCTAACAGAAGAAGTGTATAAGTACACATTCTTTTCCTAAATCTCAAGTTGCGTGGTCTAGTTTTCCTAGCTGTTACGCAATATGAGCAACTTCTGGGTGAGATGTCCCATTTAAATCTCCGTTTCACACTCCGTATACTTCACTGGGAGCCAGTACCCTTCGTTCGAAGTGACTCTGGACGACCCTTCACCAGGAATACAAGGGCACAAACCAGCTCATGTTTGTGATCGCTTGGGGTGAAGGGGCATACATTAAAGTTGAAGGCTATAGCGTAGGAGTGAGTCATCCATTGGTCCAAATGGATTAAACTGATTCTCTAGAAGCCGGTCGTGTAACATTGGGAGCGATGTTCTGGTGTGTTCTCAAGTGCATTATGCCAGAGCTGGTTAACACCAACCAGATTCACGGATAACTCGAGGACTGGCTCGGGTCCCAGCAGTGCTGCAAATTTTCAGAAGAATGGAGGTGCTTTTTTCATAATAGTGTGTTGCGAGCAAAGGAAAAGGTATCTTAGGATATTGGGCTATTATTTTTAAGCAGATCAGCTCTAGAGTGCGGCATACACCGTACCAAAAAGTTATCAAGATTGTTAGTCTCGATTCTTTGAAAATAACCTTGCCAGAATATGTAATGCAGAATATATTAGTTTCGAACTCCAACAACTAGTGTTTTTCTCATAAATTTGATGAAGATGAAACTACTGTATTAGTATCTCGAAACTCGATTCCTAGCAACATCCCCTCGCACTGCGCGAAATCCAATACCCGTTCCCTAATACCAAGAGTAAATAGTTCTTAGTAGAATGGCCTCCGATCATATCCGACCCCCGAGGAGTAGCTAATCTCTGGCAAATCAAATGCAAGAACCTCGTTCCTGAGAAATAGGTGATATCTAATCCGTCCGTCTTCTTTTTTTCCCTCCTTAGTAGAATTGTTCCATTAGGATAAGGTCCTTTTTGAAACGGGATGAGAAGCGCCGTCGATAGGTATTTTCGATCCTTTCCTAGCTCTCTCTTTATAGGAAGTAGAGCTAATAATTAGTTATCGAGCCGAGCGGTCATGCTTGTTATATTGCAAAAACCTTAAGTTCTTTTACTTTTTACAAGTTGCGAGGGATAGCTACTTTTGACCGTATTATAATACGAAGTGAGTTCGGGGCCAATGTTTATGACCCATGCTGTGAGGTCGATAGCTAAGCGAGGCGAAAAGGGGGTGATCTTTTGTAATATCTGCTAGCTCGGCAGAGTATTCTTAAGGGAGATTATAATCGGGTTTCATCTGGCTAGTTTGCGGGACAGGTCAATATTATGCGCAAGTACAGTAATAGGTCGAATTTAACTAGAGGGTCTAAATATAAAGAGATTAATCTAAAACAGGATTGTATCCCTTCCAGATCTGAGAGGAACCAAAAAGACGTGCACTCGAAGTGGATATTAGTGAACACAATAACTGGGTCGAATTGAGGCTCAAATGCTTGGAATGTAGGTTTATATAGCTCCAGAAACCTCACAGCGCACACAGCGCAACATTTGTAATGCGTGCGTACGTGTAAAGTGCTTCGAAAGTGGATGCCTTGACCCCACTCAGAACAGCACGTCCTTTTGGTTCCTCTCAGATCTGGAAGGGATAGAAAAGGGGGGACTGGACGGGTTTTTAGGACAGCAGAGGAAGTCAGTTGCCTCGCGGTACTTCAAAAGCTCTGTTCTATCGATGCAAAATCTGATTCTTGGATTTCAGTCCCGTTGAGAGCGTTCTATAAAAGTTATGTTCTCTTAGTTACTGTTCTAGATGGTGTAATCTATGCTATGTTTTGCGAAAGTGATTTTGTAAGGTTCCCTGGATTCTTAATCCAGGTCTTGTGAAGAATAAATCTTATTCGAAGTAGACAGACGTGTATAGGTCCCGAGTATGTTTCTCGAGCATTATTACTAAATATTAAAGTCGAGGGCACAATACAAGAATAAAGTAATTATAGAAAGAGAAGCTAGCTAGGAGTAGTAACGGCACTAACATCATGGCATGCTACCTAGCTAACTGTAAGTGTCTGAAATAGAACTCGTGCCCTCTATGTAATATGCTGGTGCCAGAAAGTGGAGTTGAGAGTGCTTGTGTCATAATAGATATCATACTTGAGAGCGCGTCCAACTTACTTCATACCACTAAGTTGTCCTCTACTCTATCCCACTCTACTTATTTCTCACGCTACTGTAACTGTAATCAAGACTCACTCTATTCTTTTTTTTATAGAAATGTAATCTCGCAAATGATTATAATACCTTCGACTTATTTTCCTTAGATAGTTTAAGTACACAGAGTGTTATTAGTATAACTTGGCACAAATAATATAGGGGCATATTGGGCACTAAATCAAAAGAACAAACACAAAGCACGTAAATAACAAAGGGTACAGAAATAGGTTCTATTAATGTGATATTCTCCTTTATATGCTTGGAATCTAGGTATATATAGCCTGTATTGTTGCGTAAATATATCGCAGTACTGGCACAACTGAGAGAAGTCTTGAAAGAAATGAGTACCAACTTTAGAAGCGGGTGCTATATATCTTTTCCTCTCTTGTCTAGTGTTGTGCATTGTTGGATCATCGAACTTTGTTTGATCTGGCGAATGGGTCAGCTGAGTTGTCTGTATCTTGAACTCATTCCGTTGCTTGATCGCTGGACATAGTTCACAGACGAAATAGGTTGGAGTAGTGTTGCAAGTAGCACCGACGATGTTGGTAAGAAACACAGCCTACAATTACAGGATAATATATTGTCGTCTTCAAGAGCCTGTTAGCTCTGGGCTCATAAACTCTTGGGGGTACGGGGATACAATGGATTAGCAAGATGAAGACGACAATATTGTGATATCTTATTATTGAAGCAACTAAAGAAGAAAAGAGAGCTATCTAAGTGAAGAGATAATATATGCCACTAGGCCTGGATGGGCTTGACAGCTTAGGCACTAAGTGAAAACCAAATATACCAACAACATCTATCTAGTCACATTTTCCAACCATCTGTCTATCATATCAGTCTATATACTCGTCTGTCTATCTTTCTGCTTCGCTGTGTCTGTATGTAGCAGATTATAGTACTTTAGCCATTCGACCTTCGCTTATCACTTCGCTTAGTCGCGTCTGACTAAAATAAGGGATGTCTGGCGGAGGTACTAGGGGAGTTTAACCCCTGCAAAGTTTCTTCCTACTGAGTTCGGCAGGTTAGAAGGGTCTTTGGTGTACGTAATAGAAGGTGGGAGAGGTATCTATTTCCCTTTTCTTATAGGACCACCAGGGGTTGACACTACTCCGTGCGCAGTCCCAAATTTTGGCCGAAAACACACCAAAAACACCCTACTTTAGTAAATTATAATAAATTAAAGAATAGTTGAAATAGGCTATAGTTCATTTGTTAGATTAGGATAGATAATACCTCTAACCCGTACTCTTTAGAATTCTAATAAACTTTACTCTCCCAATTTTGTATAAAACTAGTAAATCCTCTAGTTAATTTAGTAGGAAAAACTTTCGATTAGAATATCCTTAGATATATTAGGTTTTAGGTGAAACTTTCGCGCATGCGACTTATCTATATACCCTAGAGAATCAATATACCAAATATTACGTACTGTTCTAATATAAATTTACATAGTTATAGGGTTACAAAAACACAGATTTTGGTGTGTTTTCGGCCAAAATCTAGGACTGCGCACGGAGTAGTGTCAACCCCTCCCTGGTGGGACGAGTGTTATCTAGCCAGCTCGCTTCTGGCTACTCGTATGCTTGTAGATGCTCTAATCGAGGAAATAGAATAGGGAGATTGCCAGACAGGAGTGCTCGAGGCATATACTGCTACACATACTATCAGGTGTGAATCATAAGCAGTGCTGTCTTCCTTGTGCAGGACGTATAATCGGGTGTCGGTTCCATGCTAAGCGAGTGTCCTAGGGGCGGCGGGGTCTCTGTCGTCTTTCTTCTGCCAATGTCCTTGGTTCTTCGGGAGGGCTAGTATATGGACTCCCTATTTCTCTTTGTTTTACGTACCCGTAAGATTACAAGATCAGAAGGGTCGTGCTTCAGTGCTAGCGATAGTTCTATATAGTCGGGGGTTATAGTAGGTCTCGACTGTTCGGCATAGAGTAAAGCAGGATAAAATCCCCAAATATATTAGCAACGTCAGCTCATAATTAATGAAGGATTAGTCCTCAGAAGTTGGAAAATTCAGAAGAAATCGTAGTTTTGAAAGTCTCTCTAAAGAGAGGGAGGATTGTGGCGAAAGGCAGTTCAAGGTGTACAATAAATTCCCTCTGGGAAGGAAAAATAGCCTTGTAAATGTTGGCGAAAGACCCTTGCACAAGGGGCAAATGTAGTCTGGAACCGATGAAATGAAAAGGTCCCTCTAGCTAGGTGGGGGGTTGGTCCTGAAAATATAGCTCCTTGAGAACGTGAAATGCAGGTACAAGTGCGCGATTCAAGGCCTGGTCTCAGGATATTTTCGGTATAGTATACTCTCGAGATATTTCGGCTCGAGGGAGGTATAGAAAGTGTAGGTACTGGCAAGGTTATTAGTATTAGTAGAGGTTCTATAAGGGTAGTAATTCCTTATATCTAATCGTTCTTTTATAGAACTTCGATATCGTATACTTCCTCGCGAGGTACTCGTACTTAGTTAAAAGGTCGAGAATTATTTATTAATTACTTATAAGGTAGGTATTTTCTACGCTCTATGTTCTATTTAAGGTAAGAATATAACGAGAAGTCCTTATATTTATTACGTTCTTTAGTATAACTTTATTATTATATAATTCTCTATATAATAGAGAATAGCTACTAAAGTTATTCTTCACTTATTACGTTCTATTTAAGAATATAAAAATCTAGCTAATTATTATTTTAAAATAAGTTAATAATCTTTGGAAAGATTATCATACTTTTAATTTCTTTCTAAATATAGAAATAAGTAAATTATATAATATTATATAAGGTTACTAACTTATACTTTTATTCTAGCGAGTTTATAAAACTTTATTTTTAATAATGTATTTAAAGTCTCTGCTCTTATATTTATAATTTATTTTCGCTTAAAAGTACTTTATTCTTATTTTCTTTCTAGCTAACTTATATAACTTTATCTTTAACCTTATATTTAAACTCCTTTTCCCTAATATTTATAATATGTTTTCGCTTAAAAGTACTATATGTTTATTTTCTTTCTAGCTAGTTTATATAACTAGGTTTTTAACCTTTTACTTGAATACTTTTTCCCTTATATTTATAATCTATTTTCGCTTAAAGGTATTATATATTTATTCTTATTCTAGCGATTTTAATTAACTAAGTAATTTAATTAAAGAACTAATTATCTCTTTATTATATCTAAAATATATTTTCGCGTAAAATAAAATAACCCTTATTTTTTCCGTAGCTATTTAAAGTAATTCAACTCTATACTCGCGTAAGATTACTAGATTTTTACTTATACTTTAACTTCTTTAAATAACTAAGTAATCTAATTAACTCTCTGACTCTCTTTTTATTATATTTAAAAAATATTTATTTCCACGTAAAAAAAACATACTTATAATATTTTCCTAGCTACTTAAAGTAATCTAACTTTATATTCGCGTAATATTACTAGATTTTTACTCTTTTTCTAACTCCTTTAAATAACTAAATAATCTAATAAACTCTTTAACTATCTCTTTATTATATTTAAAATATATTTTCGTGTAAAATAAATAAACTCTTAATCTTTTCCTAACTAATTTAAGAAATTAATCCCTACATTCGCGTAAGATTACTAGATTTTTCCTTTTTTCCTAACTTTTTTAATAAAAAAGTATTCTATTTATTTAATAGTAACCCTACTTTTTCTAGTTTCTATAATTATTTTATAGTATTTTAATTCTCTTATTTTATTAATTAAAAAAGAATCTTTATTTCCTTTAACTTAATTAAAATTATTAAAAAACGTAATAATTAGTAGTATTAAGTTAGTAATAGAATATTACTTAATTGTTTTAATCTATTAGAGAATCGGTAATTTTTATATTTTATTAAGATCTTATTATTTTTACTTTGTTTTTATACGTAAATCGTAGTACTTTCACTTGAGATTTTATAATAGTCTATGAACTTTTAAAGGCATTTTTCATAGTTTTTTCATTGTCATTTCATATTCATCGATGTTCATGATATGTTTATGTTATGGTCAACTCATATTCATTTCATGCTATGCTACATCTCAATTCATCCTTCCCTGCTTTCGCTTGTTTGATTGGGAAGCGAGCACCTCGTCTATCTGACCAATAAGCTCCTCTCCATTATCATCCTCAACACCAAAATTTGCCGGGGAAATCTTGATCAAATTCCGCAAATACGATAAAATATCCTTCAATGAAGCAGGAACGTCTTCATTGCTGATGCTATCGTACTCCAACTGTGCTTTGATATGCTCCAGAATCGCTCCCATGCACCGAGTGTCCCAAAACATACCTCCTTCCATGTGACAATCCTCCAAGGTAATGGGGGCATGGACATTGTGATTGCCCGAAAGCATCACCAATACATCGCCAGGATGTAGAACAATGAGTGGTACGGATTGATCCCTAGGTTTCCAGGTGGTACCAAGGGTCGTGAACCCCTTCCAGTCATCGTCTGTCATGTTGGCCATGACGGGCCACACTTTCTTGCCAAACATACATCGAACCCATATACCGAATCCCATGGTGTCTTTGTGCCACAACGACGACGTGAGTTTCTGTCCGAATATCTGGAAATTGCGACAGGCCTCGAATTCGAATGGAATGGCCTTTCCCAAGCTTCTTCCTTTCACATTCTTATAAAGATTGGTGATCTTATCGATGATTCCAAACGCCGCATATGTTGTGAGAATTCGCGGTTCAATGAAGTGTTTGGGTCTTGAGGCAATATTAGGGAGGTTGATTGGTGGCTTTCCACCAAGGGACCCATGGTGTAGTATCCCTCAACGCCTCGACAACTTTCTCAAGCAACACGCTGGTTGTCTCTCTACAACCACGCTCAACTGTCATATCCTGAACGTCGACTGTAACGAATGCCTTTCGTGCTTTCGTACGCAATTTGTCGACTTCCACAACCTCCTCGAAAGCAGATATCATACTCGCAAGCGAGTCTGGATGCAATACCGCCTCTGCCGAGCTGCGGATCAACAGGACCTTTCCGTATAGAGCCTCTCGGGGGCCCTGTAGGATCCTCGCGGCATGCGTCTCATCGGCGACGATGAGATCGCATGCCTCCAACGAGACACTCTGGCTCGCGAATGGCAGGCCTGCGGGATTGTGGATAGCTGGTACGCGGCCAAATCGCAGAGAATCCATGATGAGTTCGAAGTGCTCGTAGAGGACGGTTTTGCCTTCGGCATTAGCGAAGTGGCTAATGAGATTGGGAAGGTCGTGAGCGAGTAGCGCATCGTGTTGCGCCATCGTGTTGCGCCATCGTGTTGCGCCATCGTGTTGCGCCATCGGGTTGTCGTTGATGGTAGCGAGGGTAGCGGGAGTTTGCGCCATGGTGTAGTTATTTCTTCTGCTAATGGTAGGTGTAGGAGCGTAGTTGTAGCGTCTTGCGAGGTTGCTGAAATCTGGAAATGAGGATAATGCGCGTCGCTCTGAGCCTGAGGCAATCCAGTATTGGTGTTGAGTGAATGTGACAATGAAGTGGCGCCAGAAGGAGCAGAATTTTCAGTTGGAGGAGCGAGTCCCAAGACTCTTTCCGAGTGCTCATCGTTGGGTAGAAGATTTCCAGAAGCCATATCGCGAGCTTTTCCCTTAAGTGCCTTCTTGCTCTTTTTGTACTCTGTTATGATAAACTCAATGTCCAAGTGAGAAAATCCTGCATATTGTCTGAATAGATATGGTATGAAAGGCCTCTTGTGCTGAGGCTTGAAAGTTGACCATTCACGCAGTACGACACCACAAACCTCGTCGGCCAAAACGATTTCTCTGCGTTGACCATTCTTCAAAATAAGAAAGTGCGTTCCATCACTGTCACTTTGAATCTGTTGGTGACCATGGGCAGTGTCTTTGTGGGGTTTAATCTCTCCGTTCTCTTTGACCCATCTGCTATAGGGGTTTTTTTGCATGTGGCTAAGCCAAAGAGCTTGCAAGTCGTCTTTGTCCATTGTGTAGTTGGTGGCTCCTGTCTGATCTCCTTGGGTAGTGGTTGGGTGACAAGGAACGATTTTTGTCTCTTTGCCCTATTGAAGTTTTTGCCTCTGGGGGTCCGATCTTGTGGTTTGACTGAAAATTGGGAAGATTGCGACTGCCTTATTCACGTCGGTTTTGGTAGTAGATTGAGGCGGATCATCTGTCGCAAGATAGAGATAGACTATGAGTGGTCGGTGGTGGTGGTGGTGGTCAGAAGGTCCAATGTGGTGGTTAGGTTGGAGATGAGGTAGGTAGGTAGTAGTCGATTGTGACCGCAGCCTTCCGTCGCAAGGCTACGGCCTATGTTTTGCCGAAAGCTCGCCAATTTCACAAAGGCACTTTATTGGTTGACGCTAACCGCTCAATGGGGCAAAGTGCAGAACATTAGTTCTGCCTTAATCTTAAAAAGACATCCTATCTTCGTAGACATGAAGTTGAAATATACATACGTCATAATTTCAAGCGCACCTTACCAAAAGAAGGTTGAAATCACGCCTGAGAAATTAACTTCATCTTTGCTTTATTTTACAAAGTCTGTTTAAAAAACTTAAGAAAATTGCATGGTAACTAGAGTTTCTGTGGCAATTCTCTATGAGGTCAAAGAATTCTGACATGAATTATAAGGCAAGGGAAGCGAGATATAGCCGAGGCACTTTGATTTTATAGAAAGTGAATGAATGAAATGAATTATTGGATTGTTTCATGATCATTAATAGTAACAATTTGACGCTCTTGATTAAAATTAATTTCATTGATTAAAGACATCTAATACTTGTAGTCAATCCGTTGTACTACTGCGCTTCACTATTACACTTCACTCTACTACGACATACATCCTTCCTCTCTCACACCATACGAACTTCCCCATCAAAACCCAACCCCAAAAACCAACAGCATAAAAACCTCCCACCGCAACCCCCATCAAAAAAATCACCAAAACAAGAAACAGAAGCGACATGAATCAAACATCCCTTCTCTTGCAAGGAGGATACCAAAAAGAATGATTCCTTGCACAGGATGGGGTTCGAACCCATGCTTCTCTCGAAACTGGTGGATCAAGGCTTCTAAGAAGCCACTTAAAACCAGCGCCTTAGACCACTCGGCCACCTGTGCTTTTTGCTATCTTTTGATTGAGATGTTTCAGTGCTTATCGCCAGATCTATCGCTTTGTGTGAGATTTTCGGAAAGTGGGGTGGTTTTGTGCGTGATCATGGCTGAATTTCGGCATTGGATGGTGGTGTGATTGGTTGGACGTTGTGGAGAGCGATCTGACGAAGTACTAGATGTTGTAAATATATCAAAAACTTTTCATCTTTTTAGTTCTTTAAGGTTACTTTTCTGGAGCTAGCATCAGAAAATTGGGGCTGAACGACTACTTGTTAGCTTCGGAGTATATAAGAGTGAAGTGTTTATAGTGAAGTGTGATTATTAAGTCTATAGTCGACTAATTAGAAGATTTAGTATTTTTAGATTAATTTTTTTTTCTCGACTTTTTCACCTACCCGCTAGAGGGGTTAGTGCCACTAAGCCGGCACTACAAATAAGCCGGTACTCCTAATTTAAATAATTAATAACTTAACGACTGACGGTTAAAATAATATAATTTAAATTCTAATATTATTAGATAGTTATAAAGTAATAGATTTATAATTAAATAGTATTTCTAATTATAATACACCTAAATAAGTAGTAGTCCTTTAGTAGAGCCTAGCTATATACTAAATATATTATAATTAGTTAGTATAGACTGCCCCCTATGTCACGAATCACGTGTTTGCACGTAACGAGTGAAGACCAGGCGGCGTCCTGACAGGTCAAGCACTATTGAATACTCTTATAGCAAATGGGATCGGTTGGACTAGCCAAGCGATCCAGGGATTTCACTTGGATAGTATCACGTGATATAGTCACATGACTATTGGAGCTTGCAGGAGCTTCGGTTGGAGCTTGAGGATCTTGGGCTCCCTTCAAGCTCCAGGAGAGACGAAGGTTCTATATAAGACTGGCACGTCTGCCATTAGATAGGAGCTTCGTGCTCAACTTAGTTATCAATCTTATCATATTAGTTTGACATCTTTGATACAAGTAACGAGTTCACTTCCAACAAGTGAACAACCCGATAGTCTTCTTATCATAGCATACCAACCAGCGAACACCCAGCCAAGTTTAGTTAGCCAGTTTGAGTATTCGTTACATAGCAGTACTAACCCCTCTAGTAGGTAGTTAAAAAATCTATAAAAATAAAAAAATCTAAAACTCCTTAATTCTCTAATTAGTCGGAAAAAACTCCTAGTAATCATACCTTACAATAAAGACTTAGCTACATATACTCCGAAGCTAACAAGTATTAATCTCTATAAGAAACAATCTTTAACTAACTATTTATAGGGAAATCCTTAACCTTAATAAACTCTATAAAACGATTTTAATTATAATACTTCTAAGGTACCTAGTATTTATAATAATATAATTCTAACTTGTCTAGAAACATTACTTTCCCTTCTTATATAGTATATTATAAGTATTCTACTCTATTCTACTCTAGTGTGACGAAACGCAAACTATCTAACAAAGGTAATCGTTTCGACGGTTGGTATGCGGGTAAGAAGTACAGATGCGCCGGGTTGTTTACTCGGAGGTAAACTCGTCACTTTTTAACAAAGAAGTAATAACTTAATAACTAGATTGCTAAACTAAGTTGAGCACGAAGCTCCTATCTAATGGCAGACGTGCCAGTCTTATATAGAACCTTCATATTCCCAAAGTCGACAATGTCGCTCGCGATATAGTCGATTGTCGACTTGTCAACTGTCGAGAATGTGACGGAGCTGGATTTCATTTGACAGGATTTCATTCGCTTGGCCAAGCACGTGACGAGACTTGGCATTGGAACAACTTAAATAACTTCGCTCCTTTCAGATTCTCTTCTCTCTTTAGTTTGATTTCTTCGTACCTACGGTTTTAGTTCTAGCAATTGATTCAAAAGCTGTATACACTTTATCCTTTGTTGGCATCCGTGACAGAGAAGTGGACCTGTATGAGTCACGTGATTCACATACAAAGAAATCCTTGGATCGCTTAGCTAACCTACGCGATCCCTATTTGCTATAAGGACCATGGTGTGCCTGTCCTGTCAGAGCGCCGTCTGGACTAACTATTCACGTGCTTAACACGTGATTCGTGACAGCTAGATTAGAAGGATCGGACACCCTTAGGACGGATACCCTTAGGACGGATACCCTTAGGACGGACTTACGTCTAGTAGAGTAAGATAATAATAATAACACTCTCAGACCGTCGATACGATATATATCGGATTATCGCGATATTTATCGCGATATAATATCGATATTTATTTTCACGATATCGATAATTATCGATATTTTAGGGTAGTTTTTAGGCTGTTTTTGGGGGTCTTTTTAGGGGCAAAATGTAATATATAAAGAAGAAAAGTACTTATTTCTACTAAATCATGACTAAAACGTGACTCTCTTTAATAATAATAAACTATAAGCTAAATAGTTTAAATAAGTTATATTTCTAAGTTTAATAACCTTATACTACTACTGTAACGAATACTCAAACTGGCTAACTAAACTTGGCTGGGTGTTCGCTGGTTGGTATGCTATGATAAGAAGAAGACTACCGGGTTGTTCACTTGGAAGTGAACTCGTTACTTGTATCAAAGATGTCAAAC